TATTTTGTTGTGCCAGTAATGTAAATATAGTCCCTATTCTAGGACAATTCAACAAATATGCATGTTGTCTTTTAATATGCACTTCTTGTTATATCCATGTTTAATTTTCCTAATTTATGAAATATCTTTTTTCTTTTAATAGCCGAATTTAATCGATTTATGTTTATAGAAGTCAATTTCTTCTCCTCTTCCATTGTTTATACTTTATAGTTAGGATTTATTGCTCTTGTTGTTTTCTGTTCCCTTGGTTCTGTAATTATCATTTGGCCACTTACTGCTCCCTCCTCCTGTCTCCTCACCTCCGTTTGTTCCTTCTCCATTTCCATTGCCATTTCTACTCATATTTTGAGTTCCTCTTCTCTTGCTCTCTCATCTTCTGTTCCTCCAAAGTATTCATTATAGAATAATTCTGCACTCTCCACTGAGTCAATTCTGTGTCTTTGTTTTCACCAAATAAATGTCAAACCTTCCAGGATCAACCATCTATAGTTAATTTCTTTTTTAATTAACATTTTTGTCAGGAATTGATATTCTCTTCTTAAATCTCTCACTTTTCTTGATATTTGTTTCAAGGCTAAATGTTTTTTCCTTTGTACTTCAATAAATCAGCCTTCTTCAGTATCTCTGTTTTTATTATTTTCTTGGTAAATCTCACATATACTTCTATGGGTAGTTTGTTTCTAATTGCATATCTAGTAAATACTCAATATATTTCATCCATTCCTTCCATCACTTTTTCTTTAGTCATCTCCAAAGATTCCACTAATATTTTTGTCATAATTTCTTTAAGGTTTTCTCCCTTTTCTTCCTCAATATTTTGAAATCTTAAGTAAAAATTGGCCTTTTCCATCTCCCAAAATATTGAATCTTTCCCTTTCTTGCTTTCGACCCTTGTCAATCTATTATCTATTTCCCCTTTCTTATTTGTTTTGTCACCTCTTTCTTCCATCTTCTGTATTTTTTCTCCATATATCATTAATACCTATTGTATATCTCCTTCCATCTTCTCCATCCTTTCCTCCATCTTTTCCATTCTATCCTCTCTACATTTCCCTTGATCTTGTATTACTTGAAACATTAATTTCTTGCATAGACATCTCCTTTTCTTTATCTTTCTCCTGCCGCAACATCTTTGTAATAGATCGTTGACCAGTTGGGCTCAGAGATGAGGAAGTAGGAATTGATGATCCAGTGGGTATTCCCTTACTCATGTCAGATCAAATTATAAATCATTCGCAAAAGTCCAAAGGGAAATAAAACCAATCTTCAAGTTCTTCTCCACCTTAATCTAATTTCATCCAATAAAAAAGAGGAACAAAAAGAAGAAGAAAAACGAAGAAAAAAAACGATAGTTGATGGAATCCAATAGCAGACAAGGAAACTATAGATCCAATTTGAAAAATGGGAGTAAAAATATATAAAATTCAAAAAGCCCAGGAAAGAAACCAAAGAAGAAATTTCCCAAAAAAGGGAAAAAAAGGAAATAACAATACAAATCCATCCATTTCTACCTAAAAGAGGAGAGAAAAATGGAATGCCAAGAGAAAAAAGCAGTATCAAGTCCAAAAATACCCAATTATATGCACTTGTTAGTCCACTTACTAATCAAACTATCAATAAAGTGAAAAAAAAATATAGGGAGGAGATGAGAAAAAAAGAAACCAATCCAAAATGTATCCATATTGAGGAACTGGACAAAAAAATAAAAGAAGCCCAGTAAAAAGGAGAGAAAAAAATAAATCCAATATGTACTCCAGCAAAAATAGAATAAAAAAACAAAAAGACAAAAAAAGAAAGATACAGCTATAATTTATAAATCCATGTCACTAAGTAAGGCAAAATCTCAGTCAGTCCAGAAAGTCAGAGTCAAAAGCATATATCTTATTCAAGGTCAGTGTTTTTTCTTTCTGTTAATTTTATTAACTTTCCAATTGTATGCCAGCTATTTAGAGGCAACACCTGTTTTCAATGCTGATTTATTATCTTTCTCCACTTCTCTGTAGTCAAAAAAGCTTTAGTCTGTTATTTTTAAGAAAAAGATTTTCCCTGTGACCTCCAGATGGCAGTATTGCTTAGCTTTTCTTATAGTTGTTCCTTAGTTACACTGTATCTCTATTCTCTTAAGCAATGAAAGTAAAAAAAAGAATCAAGAGAAAAAATACTTCAAATATTTAAACTAGAAAAGCAAAGAAGGTTTAGTTTCTTATTTTTAAATTCAGTCCAGTTATTTAAACAAAGAAGCAAGACAAAGTAATCACCCCCCCCCACCCCGAATAAAAAATGCAAATAAAATTGACAGTTCCTTTCCGTTTGCCACTATCCTTAACTTTTCTGTCTTCTGTCTTTCTTTAATAATTTTATTTGGTGACACACCATCTTTCTTTTCCTCTTCCGTTCCGAGGCTGACTCAACTTCTTAGCAGCTCGTGATATATGGCTGCTTCCCATTGCTGCTGGACTGTAGAGCTTTCCTGGATCTATCAGAGATTTTGCAATGTCCCTGGGATTGATAGGATGTGCTCCTTCCACTTACTGTCTCACCAGAACAGTTCAGGTCCACTGGGACCGTCTAGCTGCTGGGGTATTGGCAGCTTTCTCAGAGCCCCAAGAAAACTGTCTTTTTGCTGCCGCTCAAGCCCTGCCCTCCTCAAGTTCAGAAGTAACTGTTAATTGATTGCATGATTCAAACATCTCTCAAATGAAATATGTGTCTCAGGATAATGTTGCAGGATCCAATCTGGGTCAGTCACCAGGACCAGAAGTTTAGTTTTCCAAGCTTTTGGACTCTGGCTGGAGCCCATTCTCAGGGAACTTATCTCTCATCAGAGTGTATCAAGAGAGAAGTTCCTTGAAGATGGACTCCAGCACAAGTGTAAAATTTGGAAGATTAAATCTCTTGTCCTGCTGACTGACCCCGAAAATATTATCTTTGATCATCCAATTTTAGCCAAATATATTAATACAGTGTTGTGTGAACTCAGAAAAATGATCTTGAATAAACCCCAAATTAAAAATTACTCATGCTATATATAGATAATGGCTCCTTGTAATGTTTTACCAAATCATAATTCCTAACAGCCATCACACCATTCTTGGTAGCAGGGACTTACAATTCAGAAATATCTGAAAGTCAACAACTTCCCTACCCAAGTCTTAAAAACTAGGGGACCTCTACAAAAAAGTTGCTTATACTTGTAGAAAGCTAGCACCCACCTTTCTCCTACAAGAATTAAATATTCTAGGAAATATTAAAAAGGCAGAATATTATACTTCCCTGGATGAGAAAAAAAGAAACATGCTCTTGAAAAGCAGCCCCCACCTTTGTTAATAGCCCCAGAAAGACAGCCATCCTATCTACAAGACCAAAGAAGTTTAGCTCCAGGGTAATGGGATTAGTCCTCACTCAGGTCCAAGCCATTCAACCATAATAGAAATTGCCGAAAGCCTCTTCATTACATCACCCATCAACCAAGCTTGGGACTCAAGACAACCTACAAAGTTACCCTGCATGGTTCCATGGGAATCTGGTAACCAATCATGGTACATTTCTTGCCACAGGAAGAGGAAGCAAGTTCAAAGCTCAACAGAGGGTATAAATCTCTCCCTCTCTCATCCATGTGCTCCTTTTTGCCCAGGACCTCAATGTGGTCCTGTCCACCATTAAACCATCTTTCCAAGCAATCTCCATGTTTCCAGTGTCTTTTTTCCCACTTGGAACTGAACCCAGATGGACATTTCTTCCAATACACTCCTCTCATTTGTATGAGTTCGATGGAAGGATCTCTCCCTACTTTTTAGGAAAACTTTCAGAATTGGCTGGGGGCAAGTACCTCTTGATGTGCCCTAATTGTGGCTTTTGTTCTTGTTGACTTTTTCACTGTGGTTTGATGTGATTTTTGCATTCATTATTGTAAGCTGCCCAGAGTAGCATTTCTGCTACTCTGATGTACAAATCTATCACACCCGATCAATTCAACCCAAAACCGGCCGTAAGTCCACATCCATTCCCTGCATGCAGTGCACACCTACCGCCAATGGCAATCAGCTGTGTGCCTGGTGAAGTAACTGCCCTCTGCAAAAGCTTCAGGGCCATCTTGAGTCCTTTAAACCTGTCTGGCGCCCACCAATCTCCTTACTGGCAGGGCCGCTGAGAGGATTATTAAGTGCTGGAACAAGACTAATATGGGCCCCCCACCTACACATGGACACATAAATCAATGTCGTAATTGTACATTTATTAATTACATTCAAACAGACTTGCAAATATACTAAAAAGAGGACAAGTACTTCTGTAAAAGATAATAAAGCAGTAATACACAATAGTGTATTCGCCAGGAAGAGTCAGTGGCCCCCACAGGAGGAGGGAGAGAAGCGCAGTCCTCTGCCTCTCGTTTTGTCTCCAGGTGGCTGCCCCATGCCACCACCCGGACTCCCAGGCTCTGTCTCCGCAAAGCCGGCGGGGACGGAAAGATGAGCTCTGCCTTCGCCGGGAGAACCTTGAACACTGCGACTCTGAACGTTGGAACGGCTGGGCGAGACGGTGAGAAAAAACCCCGAGGCCTCTTTCCGCCCAGAGCTGGCATCCAGACGCCTCCTTCACTCTTTTCCCGGCTGGGGGAGGCCCATCGAGGATTTCCCGGACACCCCACTTAGTCTCCTGCTCTGAACATCCCCTCCATTCACAGACTGGGCTCGTAGGCACCTCTCCTGTGGCGTGTTACGCCTGAATCGATGGAAAGGTGGTTTGGTTTTGGATTGCACTCTCGGTTTGTCATGTGATGCCGGCGGTATCTTCTGCCCCGACCCCAGCGAGGCCCTCCTGCTCTGCTCTCACAGCCAAGCTTGGGCGTGGGGGGGCAGCTGCTTAGCAAAAAGGGTCCCTCGCGGCTCAGAAAGAGTTGCCTTCGTGCCCTTCTTGCCAACTTGCTCGGTGCCTCTCCTCTGAGCAGCTGGGCGCAAACTGCCTTTTCTGTTTGTCGCCTTCCCAGTTGGCCACGTCTTCTGGGCGGGTCCGCGGCAGAGTTCCAGGGCCGGACAATCAGACTGCTGCTCGGCAGTGAAAAGCGCGTATAGAGTATGAAGTACATATACAATATTGTTTTTCTTTTTTAAATTCCCCTTCATGGGTCCCCTTTGAGCTCTATGCAACAATGTACAGACTGCGCCCCCCTCTTCTTCAAGCACTAAAAGAATAGAATGGGGAGGGGGACTTCTTTTACTTAACCACATTTAATCGCTTTGTTTCGGCTATTGTATTATTCTTCGGAGGCCTTTAATAGCTTCAGGGAAGGAGGCGCCTGATACAGTTGGATTTGCATTGATGTCAAGGAGACACAGAGCCACTCTGTGACAGCACCGCCGCCGCTTTAATAACAGCAGTTGCGGCGGCAGTAAGGGGGCGAGACAGATTTCCTTCCTTCTTTCGCGAACGGAGAAGCGGTTCCTTCTTTTTGGCGCAGCCTCGCGGTGAGGAGCTAAAGGGTCAGACCACCGCAGGGTCGGCGCAGTCCTCTGCTAGTGGAATCTAGGCTACTGGACCAGTTTGGCGGCGGTCCCTCGGCTCCCCAAAGCGCAGAGGCAGGATCAGATTCCTCCTCTTCTGAATTGGCAAGTCGCGCTCAGCCAACATGGATCCTGGCTCCAAGAGGTCCGCGGCAGAGGAAGGGAGTCCGCTGCAGCCCCAGGAAGAAGAAGTGGACCCCAGGATTCAAGTAAGCGGAGTCTCCGATCGCTCTACCCGAGATCCTTGGAAGAGTAGCCCCAGAGGCGCGATTGCAGTCGAAAGTGGGTGGTATGATAGGATCGGGGCGCGAACAGATCTGTAATTACAAAGTAAGCGCGTGTTGTAGGTCCTTGGTTAGGTTCTTTGAATCTTCGTGAATATCGCCTTTTCTCCCTCTAGGGGCGTTTTCCTATCTGTTGTACCTCGGTATTTTGATGGTGGTGGGTTTCCCCCCTCTTTTTGGCTTTATTTGATTTCCGCCGAAGTCTTTTTGTAGCTGGCTGGAGAAACTCGTTGGAAAGAAAAGATGCTCCCGTTTCTAAAGGGGCATTTTCTTTCATGAGCTGGATCCTTCCTCTCCCAGCTTGCTCCTATTTCCTGGATTCAGCTCCTCTCCGCAATCCGTGTTTATCTTTACAGGTTCTTTTAGCATGGGCGGAGCAACGCGAACCGGGAGGTGGGTCGAAAAGAAGATGGGAGCCCACCAAGGGATGCCGTGCCTAGGTTAGAAGGACCTAAAAGGCTGAGGGCGAGTTAGAAAGGATTGGAAAACCCCTTGGGGGGTAATTTAATCCACGTTCAGGATCTTCCTGTAGTTCTATTAAAAAGCAGTACCTTATCATTGCTAATAGATGATGCCAGCTCCTGCTCTAAATGTCACCCTGACCCTGACATGAGGAAAGTTTCAGTCTCTGGATCTCCTCAATAAACTCTGATGTGTTGTAGTTCAGGTCTTCCCTAAGCTGGTCTGCAGATCTCAGGTGACATCATTTAACTGGTTACAGCTGACCTTGAAAAGTGGGTTTGTGCTTGGATGGAAAACAACTGTGAAATATCAAGGCCATAAAGATGCACACACACAAAATCATCCTGGAAAAAGGAAGGTGGCAAATCAGTTTCATATTATTGCCAATAAAAGTTTATGTATGATAGTTTGAGTTGAAGGAAGGACATCTTTACCAGAGCCAGAAGGCTGTTGGCAGGACCTCTTAATAGATGCAGATCTAACATAACTTGAAGGATCAGGTTGGGAAGGTAAAGACTGATGCCACTTTGACAGAATACATAGGAAGGGATATTATATATTCTATCTATGGCACAAGTGGATTCATTCAATGATGCCAGTGTCTCAATCTTAGTTTCATTTTGCTGGAAATGGTTTGTAATTATTCTGGGGGTTTTGTGATTTTTTTAAAAAATGTGTTTGCTTTCCTCCTTAATCTATTCCTTAAGCTTGTAGAAAGTTAGCATCCACCTCTCTCCAAGAAGAATGAAATATTCTAGGAAATATTAAAAAGGCAGAATATTATATTTCCCTGGATGAGAAAAGGAGAAATATGTTTTTAAAGACAAAGCAGCTTCCTGCAGTTCCCTTTCCCCCATCATCTCCAAGGTGATGGGATTAAGACATGGCTCTCAAGACATGATAGTATTAGCCCTCTACCCCAGTGGTCTCCAACCAGTGGGCCGGGGACCACTGATAGGCCACAAGAAAATTTTGGTGTTCTGCAGAGAAACCCCCAAAGCACCCCCCAAAGCAATTAATCCAGACTGACAGGAACACAAGACTGCGCCGCCCACATGGCCCATGGGAACACAAGGCTTGCGTCACATTGCAAACAACATGGGGTAGTGAGGGAAGGGGGGAAAGGACGGAGGGGGGAACTTGCCCCACTCACGCCATGTGCCTTGCCTGGCCACCAGGCTGCTTCTTTTCGCGTCTTTCTTCTGCTTTTGGCTGCATGCAAGGAAAGCAGCAAAAGTCTTTCTTTCTCTGCCCCAAACTCCACCAGAAATGAGTATTTGGGATTCTGCAAGGCATCCTGCTCTAAGAGGCTGCACCATTTATATCTGTGAGTGAGTTTTCCTGGACCTTGGCCATTTGGAACAAAGGTTTTAAAGGGGTTTTGAGTGTTGAGCTCAAAGGCTGCTTGGAAAGAAGATGATTATCTCTAAACTTTAACTTTTAAAGCCCAGGAAAATGTGGGAAATGTGGTGTATATGAGTGAGAGGGCCCTTCTCCCAATCACAGCTAGGTGTTGCTTTTTCTGGGCCTTTGCTAGCCACAGAAAAGCCCTGGTCTATCAACAGGGCCTGGAAAGTATAGGAGGTCAAGTCAGAGCACAGGACCTTCTGTTAGGGAAGGGGATGTGTGTGAAAATGGAATGGAAAACTGACTGAGAGAGTTGAACTTTGGTCAGCCAGCTGAAACGTCACTGAACAAAGCCTTGTGTTAGGTGCCCATACTCGAATGCTTAGGAAAACCAGCAGGTTCTCCCAGACCCCCATCGGAAGGGGAACATGGGAAGCTGTAGCTTGAAGGTAGTGACTAAATCCTAGGAGATTTAGAAAAAAGATTTGAGCAAATTGTGCTCAGGGATGGGGTGAAGCTGGAAAACCAATTTGGCTAAATAAATATACTTAAAAGAAAAGGAAATATATCAATAGGAATGTTGGGGGTTTTGTTTGTCTGTTTGTTTCTCTCTTCCTCTCTATGCAACTATGTGATACGTTTATTAAGATTTGTGCCTTCCCTAATTTAACTGAGAGTTATGATATGTGAGAGTTCTGTTTTCTTCTCTTCTTTTCTCCTTGTTTGTTTGTGTGTTTGTGTGCTCTCAAGGTAATTGTAACTGTAAAATGTCTCCAACCCGAAAGACAAAAAAATTAAATTGCTACAAAAATTTTAAAGCACTGAAAGGCAAGAAAAAGCCTTCCTTTTGTTTTGTCTGGCCCACAGAACAGAAGAAAAACTGAGTTCATTTTGCTCTCCTCTCTATGCTTTTAAGAAAAGCCCAAGGTTATGAGTGAATGTTTGAAGTTAATTTACTGTGTGTTTAAGTGGTTTCATCTGTCCATCCTTTTTCTGAAGCATGTGAATCCAGGTTTTTTCTTCTAATCTGTAATATCCCCAATTGTTAAAATTGTTTTAAAACTGCAGTATTTATTTATTTTTCCTTTCTCAAATCCTGCCGGCAAGCTGTCTACCCACCCCCACTCTACCTTCCCATCTCTTATTCTCAAACAATGCCTTTCCTGTGAGGATCACCCACAGAGGTGGGAGAGGGCCTTTTTCTCATGTCTTTCAGCCCTGCACAGATGACTGTGCAACCTGTGGAAGCAGATAATATGCTGACCCAGATGCTGCCTCTAGTGGAGACCTTCCATTCATTGATCCAGTCCTCCACAGGAAAGTCATCACAGTAACCAAAGTGGAAGCAGAACTTCCCAAGCCTGACTGACCATTGTTACCACAAAACCAAGCCTAATGCCATCCAGCAGACATGAAAGAAAGGACCCTGAGATGGAAAAGTAAAAGACTGAAAGACTCTTTTCAATCCCCAGAAGACAACTAGAATGGGGAAGGGTGGAAATTATAAAATTTTCTTCCATGTCTCATTTACTTGTATTCAGTTAAATGGATTCTAGAGGATTGTTTTGGGGAGTAGTTGCCACAAGTTCTGAACCCCTTGGACTTCTGTCTGGTGGGTGTGAAATTTGTCCAGCATGTTTGTACTGTCTGTATTGTAAAAGTAGCTGCATAGACACAGAGAGACACACCATTCAGAATTAGATAGAAATTATCCCCTTTCACCTAACTCCACACAAAGCTCCTCCTAGGTTGATTTTTGCTCTGTGGCATTAAGGTCCAAGCTGTCATATCTCCTTGCTAATTCCATGGGGGAGGGACATTCCCCTCAGGCAATTCCCTCACTTGAAGAGATAGCAGAAAAGAGATCTCCAAAACTCAAGCCCTGATTCTGACTCACAAATGATGCTGCCCAGCTGCCCAGTAAAGCAGGAAATGTTGCACTAGTGGTTTCATGATAGGTGGCCCGGGGCTCATTTTGGTAATTTAAAAAATACTAAATAGCCTGGATTGCTAACCTCAATTTGGCCTCACAAACCTTGGAAACTAAGAGCTAGGGCAGGTTTAGTAACCATCCCTTGGAAATGGGAAGCTGTAATTTAAAGGAAAACCATGGCTGTGAAGAACTTTGGGACTTGTGCTTGCTTGAAACTTGACTGGATGCTCACAAAGTGTATCAAACATCTGAAAATAATTGGCATGGAAAATTGGATACTGTAAATTTCTTTCCAGAACTTTTCCCTTGGCTGTTAGACCTTCTTGTTTGAAAGCTTTTGGGAGCCACCAAAGGAATCCTTTTCTCTATCAATGCCTTCCCCTTTGCATCAGAAAAGTTAAATGCATCCATAAGTCTCCCTGATCTGATCAATTTTTTGCCAATAACGTGTGTTCCACCCATATATTTTGGCAAAAAGGAGGAAATTGTAGATTCACAGTGGTTCCCAAAGTGGGCAGTACTGCCTCTTGAGGGGTGGTGGGATGCCTTAGGGGGGCGCTAAGAGGCAAGGGGGCTGGCAGGGGGGCACTAAGAGGTGGCAGAGGGGGATTCGAGGCGCCGGCCGTGCAGCCCATTGACTGTTTCATCACTCTGTAGCCCGCGCCTTGAATGTGGAACCTGCACGTGGCGAGCCTTGCCAAGCCTGGGGGGGAGAGGTAGAAAGTGGTGGAAAGGGGGAGCTTGCAGACTGCCCTTTCTGGTGAAAGCAGTGGAGGCACGCCAGAAGGCCTGAAAGCAAAACCCTCCCAAGGTGTGCAGTGGAAGGGGTGGGTGGTCCATCATTAGGGCCCCCTTCCCCGGAGAACAAGGGAGCGTGCAGCTCCTGCCTGGCCTCCACCTCTCCAGCCAGCCGGGCTTGCACGCAGGATGCGGGTGGGTGCAGCTGTGGCTCTCCAAGGCGTGTGTGTGTTCGGCTCTATGTGGCCAGCCCGGAACTAGAACCTAGTCTCCCTCTGCAGCCTGGTTCTTCTGACTGAGCCCTGCACTTGCTTGCTTGCTTGCTTACTTACTTTCCAAGTGATCATTCCCTCCGCCGGTCTGGGCTGTTTCTGCATGCCTTCCTCCTCCCGGGCGGAGCATTGCAAAATTGGATGCCAAAGAAAGAACTGGGGCAGGGGGCTGG